TCTTTCATAAAAACTAATTTTTTTTAAAAAAGCCATAGTGCAATCTAGTCAAGTTGCATCATCATCATTCTTTCAATTTCTTTCCACATTTACAAATACATATAAGAGCATCATGTATCAAACCTGGTGTGGTGGTGCATGCCTGTAATCCCAGCACTCAGGAGGCTGAGGCAGAAAGATCACTTCAAGTTGGAGGACAGCTTGGGCTACATAATGAGTTCAAAACCAGCCTGAACTACACAGTGAGACAGCAAGACCTTATCTCAAACAAATACACAGAGTATCATACCTTGGTGGTGCTTTTCTTCCAGCGGTACTTAGTAAATAACAACACTGCAGTCCTGCAGCTGACAGGGTTAGGTGAATATTTTACTGTCAGTCTTTTGGCTATCAGTGCAACAAAAATAAAGCACACTCTACTTATGTTTACGTAATAAAGTCTTTTTCTTCAGACATGAAGCAAAGCTACCCTGGCCCCAGAAAGTCAGACATTACTAAAACGGTCATCATGTTCTGTTCCTCTGGTAGGAAGCCAGGTTCACAGTGGGAAACATGGAATGATGAGGTTATGGCGAGGGGTTGGGCGTGCTCACAAATTTGTCCTCTTAGATACAAGATACAGTTTGTATCCAAAGCTTTATGCTTAGAACAGGAATAAGAATTTAATTGCTGCTATAAAAGTCTGCTCACTGAGTGAGCGTGGCTGACACCAGGCCATCTTGCTGATCACGTTATGCTGATCTGTGCAGTGCCGAGCGCCACCCCTTTTGCGTGGGGTGCTGTGCTCACAAAGGGCAGCGCTGGGAAGCCACTATGCTCGACAGGTGCCCTGTGTCATTACTGGCCATCTTTCCTCACCTGCTACTCAGAGCTCCCAGCAGAGGTTCAGTACAAGGATACCTTGTCCCGAGCCCTCCACCCCCTAATATGGTCTCACGAAGCTTCCGGTTACTGACATGGGGGAACTGGGATTCACACGGTCCGGGTAGTTGATGGTACTGCGGCATCCACGGACGGGAGAGATATTAGTGGACATGAACAGCCCTGGACAACAATAACCACAGTCGTCGGAGAGAAAACTACTTCACACCCTCCAACTTCATTCCAACTTCAACAGAATGAGCAGCAGCTAAGGAGCAGTAACAGCGATGAGAAGACAGAACACAAAACTGAGTTCTTGGGCGTGCAGAATTTTAGCTCTCTGAATGGGTCCTTTGACCTGTGTAAGCCAATGCCATTTAGTTGAATTCCTCTTCTCACTGAAAAAACATGTCAGCGTAGGAGAGAAGAACAGGAAGGAAAGTATCTCTGTTGAGCTCAGCAGTGCTCAAGTGAGCAAAATATGGCCGGTTGTGTGCTTCCCTCCGCAGTGCCCCAGTGTGCGCCGGAGTGTGTCTGAAAGACTACAGCAATTGTTCTTACAGCTAGATTGTTATCTACTATTGTTCAAGCCCGAAGATGCTACAATTGAAAATGATGCTATCAACAATGACTATTATCTGAGTGGGTGTTGCTGAAAAGACCGATACTGGATTACTCTACAGTTGCTGGCTACTCTGCGTCTTTCCAGTTAAGAATTAAGATTAGGCGTCTCGTGTGTGATTCACTGCTCCATGGCTCAGAAAAAGAAGCCTTTAGAAAAAATATATATATATATGGTGTGAAGATTAGCTGGGGATTCTTTGTACCATTCTTTTTTGAAATTTAAAAATATTTATTAGTAGATGTTTGCAGTAAATGATTACTGGGGAGCTGGTAACTCTATAAAACATGTCTTAATTCTTTTTACTTCCCCTTCTCCTCCTCCGTGCAACTTTTTTATACTAGTTAAAGTTCCTGCAAGTAAAACATACACTTGGAGAGTGACAGAAAATTAGTATCATTTATAATTGAGGCAGAATTCATATATTACAATGAAGTCATTTTTTTAAAGAATGCTTTCTGTCTTTTATGGGTCAGTGTTCTGTGTCTTTTTATTTTATTTTTTTGAGACAGGGTCTCACTATGCAGTTCAGGCTGGCCTTGAGCTCACTTTGTAGCCCAGGCTGGTCTTGAACTCACAGTGGTGATCCTCCTGCCTCAGCCTTGTGAGTGCTGGGATTATAGGTGTGT